GGCTAGCTAGCAAGGAAAAAAAAAAAAAAAAAAGCTTTTCTTCTGCTTCTAAACAAAACGATAAATTTATCAAGTTCGGGTTTTTTTTTTTTTCTGGGTTGGGCGGCGCAGGATATGGGGAAGTGCTCCTGGGGGATCTGTGCTGAGAGATGGTGTTGGTTGCACAATCTGGTTGGTGGGGTTCACGGAATGAATGAACCTATTTGGTATACATTCTCTTCTTTTTTTACTTTTCTTTTTCTGTGGTTTAGTGGGTAAATGAGATTATGATTTATACGAGAAGGTGATTTATTTAGTTGCTAAACAGTAAAGCATGAGATTCTTCTGGGAATGCGATTGCGTACCGTTGAGAGAGAGAAGTTACTGTTGAGAGGGACTGTGCGCACAGTGTGTGTGCTTTCCTTTTTTTTTTGGGGTTGGAGAGTGACCTTTTAGCAGTGAGGTTTGTGGCGTGACTCATATATCTATTGAAGAAGAATCAAACACGCGGTTGTCAATCAATGGCCATTGGCCAGAGAGATAGAGCTAATTAGCTGGAAAAAATAATTCTCTGGGCCCTATGCGTTAAAGGTTAAAGACGCTCACTGCACTCCTTGTGCCAGAAAAAGTATTGAAATTGAACAGTCATGACACTTTGTTTCACTCCACATGATTCGCAATTAGCCTTTTTAGAATTCCCCCTTCTGCTTTTAAACAAATTTGGTTGTATGAACCTGCCTGTATAAATGTGTCTTGTGTAATTTTTCAACATTTGGTTTTTGTTTGTAGTTTTGATGTGAAATGCCGCAGGCGTTGTAATTGGATTGGAGAGTGGTTGCCACAAAAAAAAAAACAATAGGTTATTTGGGGGGAGAAAAACTTCTATATTAGGAGATATTCCGACCGATCATGTTATGTTATTTACAATGATGACAGGACGTAGTTGGTCGGAATAGCAAAATAGTAATATTCCCATAATATGTAAGTTCTTCACTATGGAAGGAGCCTTGCAATCTTTGGCCATTAAGAAATATTGGGCTGATTTTCTTTCTTAAGAATCAAGAATCTGGATAAACTTTTGAGCCAGCTGCAGTTTGGCACACCTCAACTCACAAAACCCCAAGGCCCATTGGATGTCAATTGAATCAGACCAAACAAACAAATGGCAACGAATCCAAAAGTTGACGTAGGGGGTGAATGGATGTTAACTTTTCTGCTGATGAAGTCAATGGCAGAATGCACCTTCAAGTCAGGTGACAACAGCGTGAGAAAAGAACCCTTCAAAGCAAGCAAGAGAACCGACTCACCTTCCTGGGTCTTCGCCCTTGATTGCGAGGCAATTCAGTCTTTTCTTTGTTCAATTTCTAAGTTTCAAGTTTCAACCCAAAAAAGTCTCAGTCAACAATCTAACACAACTAGTATAAACCAACCCTGCTTGGTTCATATCTCTGATATTAATAAAGATCTTTAATTTGGTCTCCCAATTACTCAATGAAACATATACGTAAAGTTCTAACTTGACTAATTAGCCTCTTAACATGTGACTCGTTTTTTCTTTTTTCATCTTTCCATCATAAACTTGTAATTCAAGTAATTAAAATTATTTATTTATAAATGCATCCGAAGTCTTGTGTTTAATTTTCCTCTTTTTCATATATAAAAATAATAATCCTCTTTCTCAATATCTTTTATGTAAATTTTTAAATTTTTATTTTAAATTTAATATTTACAATTGGGGATATTGAAGAACAACACATTTTCTAAAGTCTATAGACACATTGATTACTTCAAAACTACTAACCCAAGTCAACACATAGTAAAATATATATTAAAATAATATCATTAATACCGATATTTTGGAATTATATCCTTAATACAGACAAGACGATATTTAAATAATATTTGGGGTTTATTTTGATAGGTGTTGAAATACATTACTTATTTTTGTTTGATAATGTTGAAATACGTTACATTATATTTAGATTTGATTACTACCTGAAAATAGAAATAAAGATCTTTAATTTGGTCTCCCAATTACTCAATGAAACATATACGTAAAGTTCTAACTTGACTAATTAACCTCTTAACATGTGCGTCGTTTTTTCTTTTCCTTTTTCATCTTTCCATCATAAACTTGTAATTCAAGTAATTAAAATTATTTATTTATAAATGTATCCGAAGTCTTGATATATTTTATATAAAATTTTTAAAAAAATAAAATTTTAATATTTTATTAAAAATTTAATATTTGCAATTGGGGATATTGAAGAAACACATTTTCTAAAGTCTATAGACACATTGATTACTTCAAAACTACTAACCCAAGTTGACACATAGTAAAATATAGATTAAAATAATATCGTTAATACCGATATTTTGGAATTATATCCTTAATACCGACAAGACGATATTTAAATAATATTTGGGGCTTATTTTGGTAGGTGTTGATTATATTTAGATTTGATTACTACCTGAAAATAGAAATAAATATAAAGACGAATAAGAAGTGGAAGCAAAAAAAAATGCGAGTATTTGGACCAACCAAAAAAAACCTAAATTTGGAAGTTGAAATCACATAATCAAAACTCCAGTTAAAAAAAAATGAAAATGGAAGTGAAGTTAGAATCAAACTCTAGTCACAGAGCCCATATCCTATCAAAGCCCAAATTCTAACTCCTCCTCTCTTTTCCGTTCCACAGTGGAGGAGATATTGGGATTTGAGAAAGTCTCCTCCTCCTTCCAAACCAAAACCCCTTATTTAAATCCCAGGGTCAGTGGGAGTCTTAGGGTTAGGATTTCAGATCCAATCAAGTCCCAAATTTCTCTGTGAAAAATGGGACTTTCAGAAGGGGTGGTGAAGAAGGTGCTCCTCTCCTACACCTACGTCGCCATATGGATCTTCCTCAGCTTCACCGTGATTGTTTACAACAAGTACATCCTCGATCACAAGATGTACAATTGGCCCTTCCCAATTTCGCTCACCATGATCCATATGGGCTTCTGCTCATCCCTGGCTTACCTCCTCGTCCGCGTCTTCAAGCTCGTCGAGCCTGTCTCCATGTCACGTGACCTCTACCTCAAGTCTGTCGTGCCCATCGGAGCCCTGTACGCCCTCTCGCTCTGGTTCTCAAACTCCGCCTACATATTCCTCTCCGTCTCCTTCATCCAAATGCTCAAAGCCCTGATGCCCGTTGCGGTTTATTCAATTGGGGTTGTGTTCAAGAAGGATCCTTTCAAAAGTGACACTATGCTCAACATGGTTTCGATCTCTGTTGGTGTCGCCATCGCCGCTTATGGAGAAGCCAAATTCAATAGTTGGGGAGTGGCGTTGCAGCTTTTAGCTGTGGTTTTTGAGGCCACGAGGTTGGTTCTTATTCAGATTCTGCTTAATGCTAAGGGTATTAGTTTGAACCCCATTACTTCACTTTACTATGTTGCGCCATGTTGCTTTGTGTTCTTGTGCGTACCATGGGTTATTGTTGAGTTGCCAGTGTTGAGGGAGACCTCCAGTTTTCATTTCGATTTCGTCATTTTCGGGACGAATTCGGTGTGTGCGTTTGCTCTGAATCTTGCCGTGTTTCTGTTGGTGGGAAAGACTTCTGCTTTGACTATGAATGTTGCTGGGGTTGTCAAAGATTGGCTTTTGATTGCGTTTTCGTGGTCCGTGATTAAGGATACGGTGACACCCGTGAATTTGATCGGATATCTGATCGCTTTCCTCGGGGTTGCCTATTACAATCATGCCAAATTGCAGGCACTTAAGGCCCTAGAGGCGCAGAGGAAGTCTCAGCAGGATAATTTGGAGGCCGGGAGGTTATTGGAGGAGAGAGATGGAGAAGGGACTGGAAAGAAGAATGAAACCCAGGATTGATTTGCTAATGGGTAACTTCAACATTGTATCTGATAAAAAGGAAATATCCGATAAATAAGGAAATAGAGAATTACATTGAAGAAAATCGAGAAAGAGCAACGGGAAGCCCTATGTATCAATTGGGTTGTTGATTGTTTAGACTTGAGCATCTATTGTTCTGGTTATGTGGTGTTAGATGATTATGTGTTACTCACTCTTTGTTCTTAGTCATTTTTGGTTTTATATCTAATAGTTCAATTTAGCAGTGGTCATCCTTACCGTGCATTGTGGCAATTTATCTTTGAGAGTAGGAAATTATAAATGTTTTGAGACTCATAATTAGTTTACAAAGAGAGCTTGAAGTCATTGAGCATATTTATTCATATGCTTTTTCTTACTGTATTATGTACCCTTTATCTATATCGACTCGGTTCCTTCTTGTACTTTGCTTCTAATATTTACATGTCGTCGTTGTTCTTTTTCTATACATAATGTCACTATATGATTATTTTTACTATGTTTTGAGCTGGAAAGAAGTCAAGTAAATTTGGGTTGAGTTAACACCAATTTTATAGCTGTTGTTCCAGCATTTCTTGCATCTTCCATTTGGTTGATCTTATATAAATTCAGGCACTTGATAACAGATGGTTTTACTGAATTCATCAAAATGGATTTAGGGTTTCTTCTCATGTTGTTGCTATCAGGTGGTGGTTTTCTTTCAGGACATTAAATGCTACATACTGCTTGTTTGATCCAAAAAAAAATGTAAAAAAGTGATCAGGAACTTTTGTGTAAAGTCTAAACTAATCATTTTCTTTAAGCGAGAGCTGTCTGATCTGGCAAACAGTTTTGATGCTTTGAGACGGTTTAGATGATGAATTTAACTGATGCATTACCGTCAGTTACACGCTATTCTTTGAACTACTTTGGATTGAGAACTGATGCATAAGGCCATTTACTTTGAATTTTTGTATTGGGAGTCTTTTAGTCAGGACTCAGTCTTTTGGCAAGTTTGGTCTTTTTGAGAAACACCCTCCTTTTCCTAAGTTACTGCTAAAAAAATTGACAGTTTGTGTCCTTTTGATGCCACGCTGCATTTGAGCTTTGAAAGAAAGACGACTGTTAAATGTTGGCGAGGGATTTGCTTCTCCTCCCCCAAATCACGGAGGAATTAGATGAGAATGATGGCGCTCATGTTTTTTGACTGAATGAAAAGCGCATAAGCTTTCTGGTAATAAAAATGTCAAAGGGAAATTATACTGTGACAGGAGCAAATTACAGATTGGACAGAAATATAAAACAGAACATCAATTCCTTTGTGATCAATGACAAAGAAAGGGATGAAATCGCTTTCTCAATGGCCATTCAAACTTAACAACAGGCAAACCAGAGGAAGCTCTTTGCACGGCCAATTTTCAAACCTGTCTTATGAAGAACCAGCTCCAACATTAGGAAATAGGCATGTATGATGAAATACAGCTTTCTTTGAAGTATCTTTTGCTATAAAAAAATGTGGTGCATTGTGGGAACAAAAAAAAGCCAC